TTATTATTATTTTTTAATGCAGATGTATGAGACATGCAGAGGGCTGGTGCGAACATCAAAGATCAGATGAATGCATTTGGAAATGAAAACGGTGGTACAATCCAGGCATTTCTCATTCTTTTGTAGGAGTTCAGTCATATCTTCAGATTTCATGCCACGTCTCACTTTATCTTCCCAGTAGATGCTGCTCTTTCACAAAACCTTATCTGCAGTATCGTAAAATAATACAGCGGTTCAGCTCGCGTACAGTCTCGGCCTGTTTCTATGTGTGTCTGGACAGAAATATGTGCCAAATTAAAGGAAAACAGTTTGTATCCTTATGGGAGGTAAAAGAACTTGATGTTAGTGTTTTAATCGTCTATATCGTAGAGCGAGAGGGTGGGGAAAAAAAACATCTCAAACACTGTTTGATTAAAATCTTTGTTTTATTTCAGAATATGATTGTTTTATAATGTGAAAAATCTCTTTCTAAAACCAAACTGCACCCTACATTGTTCAGATTCTCATGAGGCGGTGATTCTTTACCTCGCGCCGTTTTGAAGTTGAACACATGCGACTGTGTCAGACCACAATCTGAACGTGAGCCCAACTTGAATCCATTAATCCTGATGTTCTACAGCTCCCAGTCACATCTCCCTCCGCTTGTTGAGATGCTGTTGGATGCTCGGATCTTTGCTGATCTGTGATTGGTCTTACTGTAAACAAGGCAAACTAAAGATTTGTTATTGTTTATCTTAATATGCACAGCAATGTTTCATGTGAAAGTGGGTTAAAGAATTGGAGAGGAAAGACCTTTGGAGAAGAGTGCATTAAAGAGGAAAAATCTTATTTCAACAGTTGTTGAGGATTTATTTAACTGATTGCAGCATATACTGTTTTTTTTAAATGTTTTTATATGCAAGAATTATTTGTCAAATTAATCCACAGTGTTTGTGTTTATATATATGTATGTATGTGTGTTTGCTAGCTGATATACTAGAGTAGGACAGTTTTCACAGTGACAGGA